ATATCTTAATAAAATGAACTAGGAAATAATATTGCATTTTGTTTGTCGGTTCGGGACCACATCTTCCGAAAACTTTTCGATGAAAGCCTAATTAAAGACGAAATTTGGGTAAACTGTGTTCTCAGTATGAATCTTATCAAAAATAAATGAGGAATAACAGTATTAATAAAAAAAAGAATAACCATAGAAAAAAATCAAAAACACTTGTTTTCGTACACACACACAATAAAAAAAATATGTCACATGATAAAAACTAAAAAAAAAAATCCAAAAATGTGTCACTTTTAAACCTATTTTCCCCGGGGAAATACTTCAGCTATGACAACAAAGACTGCACAATAATTTTGTAACAAGTATATCTTTCCCAAGGAGTGGTTTTGCTTAAAGTTTTATGAATATTTCTGTTTCAGATGCCATGCAAAAAAAAGAAGAAACAAAGAAAGAAAAAAAGGCACATGTGGAACATTCGCGATGTCCAAGTGTTGAAACAAAAGTCTTCCAAATGATGAAATATGATATGTTCCTACCTTGAAAATCACAGATGTTCGCCTTGTTACAGCCTTTAAGAAATTATATACTGTACCCAAATAAAAATTGCGAATTTTCTAACGATATATCTACCGCAACGAGCTCGCGAGATCTGACAGGTTTTGACGAGATTTCATTTAGGGCGCCGGGTGTTGGCGATTAATAACATGCCAACGGGTATTAAGGCCCGATATCACGGATCCGACCTACATCTACATGATTCTTTTTGGCCTACTGTGTAGGATCCGTGCTATAGGCATAACCGTGTTCAACTTCAAACTATATCATACTACATGCCCACAGATATTGAAACAGCAATGAACTAATACCTATACACAAGTAATTATACAGTGTCAGTTTATAAAAAAAAACGGTGTTTAAACAGTAAACATATTTTACCAACCTTGTGCGAGTCATCGTAGATGAAGGTAATTATAGTGACAACTATTCAAGGTGTGATTCCGTAAAGTACTGTGGTCAGAAGTGAGCTGTTAGGACATGTCGTTTCCGCCTTTACATGGGCACTGGTTGAACAATACTTGTACAGGGTGCATGCAGGCTGGTGCGTAGGGTTATTTTTTGGCCTGCACCGTTCAGGTTGAGCGAGCAGTTTACAAAACGGGCGGAATTTATTTTATTGTCATCAATGCGTGCGTCACCGCGTGCTTCACTGCATTGTAAGCCACAAGTTCATGTGAACTGGGTGAAACTATAGTGCTGCGTTAACTTTTTGTTGTTGCAAAGTCTCCTTTTTTGTGGGAAACATTACGACCTTAAGGGTGCAACCTAGTAAATAGGCCAAATTCCGTCCGCCAGCCTCATGAGTAAAAGTTACACTCAAATCCTTCTATATTGTATTAGAGAGCTTATTGAGCCATGGAATTGGGAAATTGAGGGGATTTGACAATGCAATTCTGGCCCGGACTTTGGGCTTCTAATTCCGAGCATTTTGGATGCAATTGGGCCCGAAAGTGGCGCCATTAAGCCATGTGGTGGAGGAATTGTTTTGGTCACGATGGCTGCTTTTTCACTTTGGGAAACATCACTCGTTTTTAGGGGTCGTCTTTTTTGGGCGAGAACCGCCAAAAAATGAAAAGACTAGAACGGCGAAGCCGCCATGGCTCGCTGTCCAAGGCAGGAAGGGAGGCTGAAGGTAGGGTTGAGGATGGGCATGATGAAAGGGGATCAGGATTCTTGTTAATGTGCCTAGGTGTAGGGGTCAGTTTTTAAATGTCAACATAAAAAGTTAACAGATTACCTAATAAATACATATGTATATAGGTTAGCCGTCACTGTATTATGGGGGAGTTTTCCATTGTTAGGGTAATTAGGACCCACTTGTGGATTTTTGCAGCCCCAACAGTGTCTTCTGGTCCCCATACTTGTAGTACCATGGGAAAACTCTTGTGTAGTCGCCACAAATGCAGAACAAGAATGGGTATACATGTACATGTAGACACAGCACCATCACCACCTCCCCCGAACCTTACCCCATCCCAAAACCTTACCCCATCCCCAACCCGCCCCCTCCCCCACCCAACCCCCTACCCACACCCATTCCATCCTCCCCTAACCATCCCCACCCTATCACCTACACATCCCAACCCCACTCAAACTCCAATCAATATCTCCTTCCCCCTCCCCTGACCCGTACCCTCCCCTACCCCAACCCCCTACACCCACCTACCCTATCTTCCCTTATCTGTCCTTACCCACCCTACACATCCCCATCCTAACCCTTACTCGAATTCCAATATCCCGCCCACCCCATTCCCCCACCCATACATCCCCACCTGACCCCATGCAACCCCTACTCTGATCCCTATATACTGCCCCCTCCCCTTATCCAACCCCTACAACCCATCCCTACCCATCCCTACACATCCCCAACCCAACCCCTACTCCGATCCTATATCCCGGCCCCTGCCCAACCCCCTCCTAACCCAACCCCTACATCCATGCCCATCCTCTCCCTACCTGTCTCTCCCTACCTGTACCCACCCCACCCCTACAAATCCCCACCACACCCAAACCCAGTATTCAAACCCCTCTCCCCACCCCAACCCACCCCGCCCCACCCATCCTAGCTCCCCTACTCATCCTACTCACACAAACCCTAACTCCAACCCTATACCCCACCCCACCCCACCCCACCCCACCCCACCCCACCCCATCCCCACCCCATCCCATCCCATCCCCACCCCACCCCACCCCACCCCACCAACCCTATACCCCACCCCACCCCACCCCACCCCACCCCACCCCACCCCATCCCCACCCCATCCCATCCCATCCCACCCCACCCCACCCCACCCCACCCCACCCCACCCCACCCCACCCCACCCCACCCCACCCCACCCCACCCCACCCCACCCCACCCCACCCCACCCCACCCCACCCCACCCCACCCCACCCCACACTGTACAGCTCCCTTTCATTGAAAAACTGCCCGAAGTTTCAGACTAATCAAATAATGTCATGGGGTAATGCTGCAGCTCAGAAAAATATACAAGGCAAAAACAGGGATGCATGTGTCTAATTTTTCTCCAGGTTTGCGGACATCAGACTTGTTACATAGAATGTGGCCACACTATCCAGCTCCCTCCATGCACAAAAAATGGTACAATACAATTGACAAAATGCCCCCATATCGAAACTTGCCATGTCATGGCTGGCCAAGCCAAGCTGACAGGCAGTCAAACACAAAAATAAACCCGGCGAGAACAGGGATGCCTAATTTACTCGATGTAAATTGGTTTGCGGACCTCACACTTGTTGTAGAATGTAGCCAGACTATCCAGCTCCCCATCCATACAAAACCATCGGCACATTTCCATTGAAAAACTGGCCAAAATGCCAGACTGGGCAAGTCATGTCATGGCTGTCAATGGCCCAGCTGACAAGCAGTTAAAAGGGAAATGCTGCACAGAAAAATATATTCTGCACACGGTCAAAACGTGGATGCGCATGTTTAATTTTCTCCAGTTGTATTTGGTCTCCGGACAAAATAATTCGTATGCACAAAAAAAAAAATTATGTTTTATTGCAGACAGGATCAGCTTCATTACTTTTAATAGTCTAAAAATGCTGAATAGCTCAAGAATGCCAAACAATTTTTTCTATTTAACAACGGATACTCGTTAGTTGGCTTTATATCAAGTCTACCATGCTTGCAACGCACAAACACTAGGCCTACAATGAAGCAGCGCAACCCCCCCCCAAAAAAAAAAAAAGAAGAAGAAGAAAACAAAACAAAACAAATAAATAAAAAAATTAAAATAAAAAAATAATAATAATAAAAAAAAAAAATAAATAAAAAAATAAAAAATAAAACAAATACAAATACAATAAAACATTAAAATAAAACCGAGCATCACAAAAGAGTATATTAGGGAAACTTTTCATGACAATATGGACACATATCCGAGTCATGTCATCGGGGCCGAGGCCCCGACTGACAGGCATGGCAGTCAATGGGAAGAGCTGCTCAGAAAAATATTATCCGAGACATGTCGGTTTCCAGTCATTAAGAAAGTCATCACACGTATTAATTTCTAGCTATATATCACTTCCATTGTCCCTCCAAATTTCATGCTGTATCATCTAAGGCCAAAAAAAAGAAGTCGCCGTTTTCTGGTATGGAGCTTGCCCAAAAAGTGGTGCGGCGACGCGGCTTTTTTTTTTTTTTTACCTTTTTTTTTTGCTTCAAATGTCGGCTGATGACTGCAAATGGTGCCCGACTAAACTTAGTGCAAATATTATGGGAGACCAGACAGGCCACATAAAGCTTATTCTCGATCATAAACCCATCTAAAAACACGTTAAAATTGTGCAGCAGCAGGATTCCAGTCAAACCAGTGAGTTTGGCGGTTTTGAGACATCATCTTTTATTGAAAAAAAAACCTTTTTCATTTTACCGACGCGCATGGCTACGGCGACGCGCGCGCATACCAGAAACCGGAGACATTTTTTGTTTGGCCTAAGTCACAATTTCTGCACGTATCTGCCATACTGGAAAAAAAAGCCTGGAGAAGACCCTAGTGGCAGAGGAGAGAATGTTATTGATCAAATGGGAAAAGAACAACAGGCGATGATACTCAAACGAAACGCCAAATTAAGCGTGTCTGTGTACTATTATGTGAATTTACGGTCAATGCACACTATGAAATTTAAAATCAATATCAAAGAATTCGCTTGCAATTGAGTCCCCACACTGTTAAAAACAATCTGCTTGATTGTAGATGGTTGATTCGAACTACCGAACTGTTACCATAGAGACTAGTTTCCCCTTTGTATGACGCAAAAATAATGCGACCATAGCAACAAGATATATTGTCCGCCGCTAAACTTGTGCGCATTTTATTTCGTGCCACTTTTATATTTCTGCCGTGACCACCAGTATTCATTTCATTCAACTCGACTTTACGGTTGCAACACTCGACGTTTGTGCCGGAAACACATCTGATACCTCGATAAACTCTACAGTCGTCCTTACGAATCACCATGTACTTGTTTCACGTTTTTGGCATTGTAGCAATCACTTCAGCTCTTAATACTCAATTTGGGTCAGGTTCCTGCCAATCTCATCTCACTGTCAAACGCTCTTGCCCGCCAGAGTGGCAATTTTGGGAAGATGAGTGCTATCACGTCACTCCTTTACGGCATAACTGGGACGACGCCAAGTCAGCTTGCCAAGCCATGGGAGGCAGGATGGCCGCTCCTCACTCACTCGAAGAAATGGAGTTCATGGCAGATTTGGCACAAAAGGAGCACGGTGTAAACACGGCATGGATTGCTTGCAATGACAAAGGAGTGGAAGGCATTTGGGAGTGTAACGGTCAGGAAGGGAGTGAGTCTTTCTTGGAATGGGCTAATGGGCAACCAGATAATTCAAACAATCAAGACTGTGCTGCAATAGCCACAGCCTTTAATAACAGAATGGATGATGACCAATGTTGGAGCTCTCACGAGGCGATTTGTGTTCGTCAGGCAACCGGTACTCATCCTTCAACCCAACCGCGTCAATACTGCCTCTCTACCGACACAGACGGCCGCATTCTCAATTCAACCTGCCTCCTCGACCACGGCATCCGGGAGTTCATCACCGAGGGCATGGCCGCCTGCGGCTCGGCCTGCGTCAAGGAAACCGGATGCCTCTCATTCAACATCAAGAAGACCGAAGACGGGAAGAAAGTATGCCAGCTGAACAACAGCACGAGGTCCGAAGATAAGGACAAGTTTCAAAAGACCGGCTATTTCTGCATCTACTCCGAAGTATGCATCGGCTAGTGATGGGAACATTGGAACAATGTTGGAGACGTAGTCTACAAACTTGAACAATCACCAAAACAATTCGATTTGGTTCTGATAGAGACAGCTGCTTCACTGAATCAAACATTTAGGTAATATGAAAACTATTTTGGATTTCCCCTCCAGAGAAATAAGGCGACCGAGATGTGCATTTAGGTACGCAGGGTAAGCAAATGGCTTCTTTCTTTGTTCTTACACATGAAAAATGAATTTAAACTAACATGATTAGTTTTGAAGTATATACATGTGGCAAATACATACGGAGTTTCAGTGTCATTTTATACTTACCATTATTTACCTAACATGTTGAGACTGCGTAATTGCAACTTATCACATATTTACCTTTTACTGATTTCATAATATACCATGTAAATATGCTGTAAATACATTCTTTACGGTATAAAACCACGCCTGACTGTAAATTAACACAAAGTGTGTATGCGTTAAGGGTCAGTGGAGTTCTAAAAACAAAATTAACTAGAATTGTGTTTGTGGACAAACACATTGTTGTTTGGACAGTAAGTTTAGTGGCATCTGGCATGTAGGAGTTTCACTTGTACATGTACAAGTGTATGGTTATGAAACTATTGGGTTGTGTAGAAGTGAATTTGGTGTATAAATAAACACAATTTAGAAATCAATAACAATCACATGATAACGGTTAAAGTGTACCGGTAGAAGAAAAACATGTACAAACCCTGTGGAGAAAAAGTCTTAATAATAAGAAAAACAAATCTTAAACGAAAACGAGAGCTGTTTCGGAAATTCTCCGAAACAGCTAAGAATGAATAATTTTGGTGAACGATCGGTGTTGCATAACACATGAGAAAGGACTGTTAAGGTAAACATTCTGATTATTACACATTACAAGAAACAAACATTACACCAATATTTTACGTTTTCGTACATTCACGAATGGTCAATGTTAATTGACCACTTACATTTTACTTGAAAGTGTAAATTAATTATGAATTTAGGGTAATTGTAAATATGACTGCAGTCTGTACATAGATTTCCTTTAAATTAAACACGACATTTTGAAGCAGGATAATGTTTTTTTTATAAAGCGCCAGTGCATTGCAAACAAATGCCCGATTCTAGAACATGCAGTAATTGTTTCAATTTAGTATCAGTGTTTCAACAAAATATCAATGTTTCCATTTAATATCAATATTTCAATTTTAATGTCAACGTTTAAATTTACAGGTAATATACAACTTTTGCAAAACATCACAAAACAAAACTGCGAAATAATGAAATACCTTACTAACTGAGTGAATAATAGTCTCAAGCATCCTGTGAGATTATGGCACCTGGTGTGCTGCCATTTAAAATTAAAATAACGAAGGGGAATTTTTGTATCAATTTCCAAGGATGGTCGGCCGAAAATCGCCGAAAATGCTGCCCCAATTGTCCAAATTTAGTTGGTCCACATGTTGTTTACAATTGATTACATATCAATGAACGGCTGAAAACCAGCTAGCCTGGTTCATTGACCTTACAATGGACCGATCCAGTAAGCACCACCCCATGGTGTTCTGACCAGTCACAGCCGTGATTTATGTCCGACGTGCGTGCACAAAAGTCCGACATGCGTGCATGCGCGTATGATGCGCGCGGAAGGAAAATGCAGCGTGGCATTGGAGAGGAGCACGTGTTAATTTGCCCACGTGCGCACTGGGCGGAGCTTACTGGATCGGTCCATTCCCCTAAGTCTATAAATTGCTCCGTGTAACAATGTGTGCTATAAAATACCTAACCCCAAATCCATCCATTTCTGAAAATAACTGTTAAAGCCAAAGGTTGTGTATTATCTTTCATATCATTGTTTAAATTCAATAGTTGCGAACATATCGATGTGATTACTAATTTTGAATGTATTATCTCTTTGTAAGTTTACTAATTGTCAGGTGTTTCTGCTTTTATTGTGCAAGGTATTTACTATTAATCGGTTTGAACACAAAATTTGAATCACACTTCTTCGTAAAGTATACTCTTCTAGATTATAATTCAGGGACAATTCAAATATGTTTGTCAAGATATCCGTCGGGGCTCACACAATCGATTTTGAAATCTCTAAATCATAAAAAAAAAAATATTTGAAAGATCGTAACTTTGCATCGATCACCCGAATTGTTTTCTGTGCCATTTTATTATGGCTGTACATTTTAGTCATTTCAACAACTACTCGAATGCATTTTGTACTCACCAATCACACTGAAAAACAAGATGGTTGACTTGAAAAAAAGTTGCTCTAGGTCAAAGGTTGCGCTTTAGCCTCTGTCAACAACATTAAAGTCTTAATGCACAACTAATATTAATCTTATTTTAAGGTCGATTAAGATTGATTTTATGAAACAGAATTTTGCAATTAATTGTGATCTAAGGTTAATTCGGACTTAAGGTTTCATGTAGGTTTTCCCGGCTAATTTAAAAGATTTTTTTATTCAAAGTCACCAACTCTCTATCATTCAATTCTTTCCTCAAAAAATTTCACACGCTTTTAAGAAAGCGAATTTAGTCATTAACCATTCAATTTCAAAGTTTGGTCATCCTCTTTAGTCACCGGGTTAAAAATATTCGTCATTACAGATCAAATTCGTCTAAGCTGTTGTCGAATGGCAGCATTCAGAGATCGAATTCGTCTTATATCAATTAATTAGACGAATTTGATTGCTGAATAACAAGGTTTGGCGTAGACGAGACGAAATCGAATACTCCCGGATGAAAACGTGTGCTCATTGTTTGAATTTGCTTGAACTGATTTTGAAATTGTCTGACAAAAGACGAAAAGCATTGGAAGAGCACTAAATCGATGTTGATGGGCGAATTTGAATATTAGAAACGGTGAATTTGAATGATAATCGTTTTAAAATAGCCGGAAAAACCTATAGATAAGATTAATTGTTTGACATTCTTTAAAAAAACACCCCCCTGGTTTTGTTTTAGTAATTTTAATAGTATTATTATGACTGCCCCTATGGTTTGCACTGAATTATTTTGGAGGCAAATTAAGTTGTATCAAGTTAGCTAATGAGGATGTGTCAATTTGCTTGACAAGTACAAACCAAATTTTGAACAAAAAATCAAATTGCGTGGATTTTTAAATGTATATTACTACATTCTACGATAGGACAAAAAACGGATGGTTCTGTAGACTGTATTTGCTATGCACGAATATATTATATTATAAAATAAAATACTTGTTGGTGTTGTAGTTACAGAACATTCACAACTCTCACAACTTCTTTGTTGTAACATTTTAGCAACTCAAGTGGCCTAAATTGATCTACGGGAACGGAAAGGGCGTGGTCAGGTGATCTGATTGGTGAATATGATGGAATGCTACGTCATACACGGATCTAGGATGGAACATTGACAAAAGATGGGACCTTTAATTTTGTCAGGGGAAAAAACGTAGAAATCTCCCCACAATATAATTTTAGTAATTTCATATCCGCGCCGCAAATAGTTTGCGAAAACGCACCTCTGGCACGGCAGGTACTTGTGATGAGATTGTGCATGGGATGATACAAGCATTTGGCGCACAGTCAGAGAATGACATGAGTAAAACATTTGGCTGTAGGGCCATTGCAGATTTGTCCTTTGAAACAAATATCGGTAGAATAACAAGCAATGGGAGCCATTTGGACAATTTTGAAAATTGCTTGTTATTCCACTTTATTTGTTTTTCAACGGACAAATCCTATGGCCCCATAGCCAATAATCTTTCTTAAGACGTACTCTGACTGTGTTATGCCATGCTTGTATCATCAAAGGCACAATTCGCCCAAATATTTGCCCTATCTGCCCCACTACTCATTTCGCATCAAATAATATTTAAAAGGGCGCAACGGTCACTCCTCCCCCCCCCCGCACAAACATACAGGTTTGTTTATGGTAAAAATCGTTTTCTAATCAAGGTCGTCCTCGATTTGGTTGTTGTCCTCAATATTATTCATCAATGATGTTGCACGTGTGCGTCCTCGATTTACACCATGAACACGCACACATGTTTACGTTACATACCTTACAAACTCCTTACCTCGTGAGCTCGCTCACAATGTAAGGCGTTTTTAATGCAGTAATATAGATGTCTTATTGATGCGGGTCGCTATACGGTCACATTCCCCACCCATCCTTCCCAATGCGTTAGGGATTTGTCAAAGATAGAGGGCGGTCAACGACTGGACCACAGCTACATTTCTCCGAGTGCATGCCTATGTTACCCAATACCGATGTTCCCCAAAACTGATGTTCCCCGAAATCGTTACCCTAACCCTAACCCTAACCCTGACCCTAAGGATTTCGGGGAACATCGGTATTGGGGAACATCGGTATTGGGGAACATAGGTACTGGAGAACATTGAATAAACCCCATGTCTCCATCTCCTATAGAAATCAACATACAATGATACGCACAGACTTGGCATTTCTGTTTAAGCGACAGAGGGCAGAAGACTTCATATACAAGTCATTATGCGACGATTTCATAGGGGAAAAAAATCGTTTCTTAAAGAGAAAAAAAACCTTTAGGCCTACGAGAAGAAATATAGCAGCAAATGTCGAATATGCATTTGATTTTAATATTTATTATTACTTGTTGTGATACATTTTTTAATGTAATCGCTCGTCACCTTCCGCTCAACGATCTGCAATTTAACTTTTAATGTCTCACTACGTAACCCCATCAGATAAATGCATCGCACACATTTTTAAGAGCATAGAGTTTACCATCAAATATCTATGTTGTATTTGGCTGCACGTCCTGATACTTTCTAGCTTCACTGGATAGCAGTTAATGCGCATCGTCAAGTTTATTGAAGCATGGGGGCTCAATGTTTTAATAAATATTGTGTCGATATTTCACCAGCAGTTATGTGGTATCATGGCTAAAGTAACGCCTAGCCTATATCCTTGCTAAGTCGGCCAACAAGCAATATCAAGCGCCTCCCTTTAAAGGCTTGTCCCCGCACTTATTAAATGTTCCCACCTGATTCTGGACGATTAGGCCTATTTGAAGTAAACAGGATGTGTTACTATAGAGACTGGTTTTTCTCCCCTCACTGAACGCTGGCACAAACTGGCCTCAACAAAATCTATTGTCTGCTGCCCATGCAGATACCCACATTCAGCGTCATAGATATACTCAAGTACTAGACTCTGCCCGTCATTCCACCTCAATTCTAAGATTTTGAACGGGCTAATATAGTAATAAACCCCACCAAACCATCATCCTATAACTTATCATCATGTACTTGT